ACAGATTTCCGTCATTTTCCTCAAAACTCAAATAAGCATCCACATGTTGAAACCACTACAACTGGGGTCTTAGTGCGCCCCACTCAGCTGACTTGAATTACCGTCTGACTTCGAGTAAATAATTCTTGTCACGTCAAACATGTTATAGTAAAACTGCTAAATATGATACTGGTAATGATTTGGTGATACGCTTTATAATCAGTACTCTCATGGACGGATAAAGTAAAAAATTGTCTGAGTAAAAAGACCGTTATATTAACGTTGTGTAACTGAACGTGGTTGTGGCAGAACTAAACGAGGTATTACAAATATTTTTTAAACATATGACTGTAAAATTGAATACAGATTGCGAATTAGACCGTGCTCATAACGGATATCTCCATATTGCTTAGGCTGACGATCATAAATATCTTCTCAGCGTTTAAAGGCATATTAACTGGCCTGTCATGGATGGATGATAAAAGCAAACTATTGGCGATAAGGAAAGTTGACAACCTCATCGCGTCGATAGCATATTCACGACTAATTCTAAATGATACCATTTTGGAACAAATGTACTGCGTTCTGACCAGTCAGGATTATGGCGAAGACAACTTCTTTCAGTTTTTTTCCAAGGTCGTTTCGTTTCGCACTAGTCACCGTTTTCGGTCTTTGAAACTTCTACATGACCGAACGGAGTTCCGCGGTCCGTCGACGATCGTCAACGCTTGGTACAAGGCAGACCTAAATACCATAACGTTGCCAGCCGCCATCTTCACGGCGCCAATATTCGACGCGACATTTCCGATGGCAGTCAACTACGGATTCGTCGGAGCGCTGATTGGTCACGAACTCATCCATGGTTTCGACAACCAGGTGTGTGTAACACGGGCACATGTTTCGGTCATGTTTACAGTCCGCTTTCAGGGCGTTCAGTTCTTCGAAAACGGCCTCCTACACAGCTGGATGTCTGAGCAGTCGCAGGCGAACTTCGACCGTTTGGCCGAGTGTATGGTCGAGCAGTACAGCCAGGTTTGCTACGCACAGGTGAACAGATGCGTCAGCGGAAACCGCACACTCGCAGAGAACATCGCTGACAACGGAGGCATGAACGTTGCCTACCGCGCCTATCAGACGTACATCTATGGACGAGGTGCCGATGAGGCTCCGCTGCCAGGGTTTGAAAATTACACACTAGAACAGGTGTTTTTCATGGCATACGGCAAGCTGTGGTGCATGAGTTCAACGAGCAGAAACTTGCTAGACACGCTACAGTTCGACACGCATAGTCCCAATGTCGCAAGAGTAAACGAAGTACTGAAAAACTCACCCGCCTTTCAAAAGGCGTTCGGGTGCAGCACAGAGAATAAAATGCACACTGATAGGATTTGCGAGATATGGTAATTCGTTATTCTGTATCGGCTATGTTTATGATAATAATACATTTATATCTGCTGAATGCGCGATTAATTGTTTACGTTGTCGAAATCCGTTTGGTTCAAACTGGGCAATGCTTAGTATAAACAAACGGTACGACTGTTAATAAATAATTCACTGAAAGAGGCGAAATGTACAGAGTTAATTAGTCGGTAACCAGTTACAAGTGGATGCGATTATCGCTCAGGACCTCCATCAGGCATCCGTACAGTTCTGTTTCACGCACTTGCAATATTTTGAAATGATTCAGGTGACTCTGCGAAGCCAGACAAAGCGGAGACTACTGCTGAATCATTCCAACTGGAGACCATACAACATACTGCAAGTTCTCCGTCGAAGTTCAGGGCGACGTTCGCGAAAGGCAGTGAGTTTTTATTCTTTAACATAGACGCTGCACAACGCGTCTCGCTAAAAAAAAACTAAAAAGTAATAGCAGCATGTTTTAAAGTGGACATGAGGAAATTCGCATAGTGTAAAGCCGAGAACAATGATAACCACTAGTATTGGAGGGCGATGCAAAGTCGACCGAGAAAGTTTTCTGTTAGGACTTTCAAATGCGGGAAACGCTATGACACAGAACCTGATTTGTGGTGCGGGGGGGGG